ATATCAATGATAATTATACTCAGTGCAACACAATAAAGAACTAAGCAGCTAACCATTACTGAAAAAATCTATCATGCACATGAGAAAGAAACACAAAATATCAGTGTAATGCTTATGACAATCCAATGGGACCTTCTAATTACAGGTAACCCTGAGGAACCCCGAGAGAGATGATCAACAAGTAATTTGTTCATTAAGATGTTCTGTAGTCAACTTTGAGGGATGACCTTACAAGTACACCTCAAAATATTATAAATTACTGTAAAGGAAACATAGAGATCCACCATAAAGGTCATTTTTTCCCTTTTAAATAGACAACAACCGTAAACCCACATAAAGAATAAAATTGAAAAAAAAAAAGAAAAAGTGCAACACAACAGCCCTAAAACTCCCCCCGCAGCGGGTGAAATCTTTTATGCTGCTTAATTTGCCTCAAAAGCAAGCATGTTGTAAATCACTTGCTTCATCTAGCTCGAAACACTAAACCCTAAACCCTAACCAAATGATAAGATTGTCAAGATTGTGACTACATTACAGTAGAGATGAAAATGTTCAGATCAGTTCATAAGTGAACAGATAAAAGAAAAACAGGAGCATTTAAAATGAGTATAATCTGAAATTGGAGGGGCACTATTCCCATTCAACCAATCTGGCTTGGGTGATTCTTGAGACAGATCAGGCTACAGATAATAAAAATAAAAAACCCAGAGATGGAATAGCCCACCTCTAGATCGTAATCCAACTCGGGCAATTACAAGTCAAATCGTCGATTTTTACATTAAAGTCTGAATGATGGGCTAGTCTTTCAATATAAGCTGTTGTAAGAGCAAAAGTTCTAGTTCATGGAATCAAATCTCCAAAAATACCAGATAGTATCTTGAAGTTTATCTTCATAATAAAAAACAGAGAGGGCAAATCATCGGAAGTCTCATTAATAATTACACAAACAAGGCAAAGGAAAACTTAGAAAGGCAGACACCTTGGTGGATTCTAGTTTATAAACTGGATCCACAGGAAGTTTAATTAATAATTACAATAACAAGGCAAAGGAAAACTTAGAAAGGCAGACACCTTGGTGGAACCTAGTTGATAAACAAACTGGATCCATAGAGTGAAATACAATATTGCACAACTGTCAAAAATTTAATAAAATAGGGTGAAGCGTTCAAGATATTAAAAATATATGAACACCTACATACATGAAAACCTACTGCTACCTATAACATTCTTTTTACAGTTGTTAAGCATGGTGCTAAAATACAACCTCGAGAATGAGATGGACAGCTCGATAAGAAATCACATTGTGGCACAATCCGTTAAACCCATAATTTTTGTCGAACCATCTGAGGCAGTAAAATCCATCTACTAGCTATTCATGAATAACATATGCTCATTGAAACTTGAGTTTAAGTGATTACTTACAGTCATAACCATCGATGACCATCTATCAAAATTACACATATTAAGTTTTTATGTGCCTTCGGCTAACTGTTACTTCATAAAGTTCCGTATAAATGTGGTGTACTACAGTTAGAACTACAAACAATAACCTCCCAACAATCATGGTATTATCAATCAAACAAACAAGTCATCTTATTTAATAAATATTAGAGTAAAAATTAATAAGCTAAGATTATAAAACAAAGACAAGTAGATTACCTGGCTGGGTTCCCCCAAGAACATAGAGTGGATTCTTGACCACGTATAACATATACCTCAAGGGTTTCCGAAGATCACTCATCTTGGGATCTATTGATAGTGAGAAGGAACCTGCAATGGATCACATCTATAAAGCAATTGGATGTCCAAGGATGAAATTTAAAAAAATTAGGCAATGATGAAGCTAACTATGGTCCTTTTTTGAAAATTATCGAAGAGGAATTGAGCTTACAACTTCAGAGGCCCCTACAATTACGTAATTGAATAAAAAGCATAGGACTCAACAATCTAACAATTTTAAGATCAAATTCTATGTAAAAATTAGGAAATACATATTGAGCACATTAAGAAATACATAATATATAGTCCATCCATAGTCCATAATTTCATACCTTTCGAATTCAAATAAAACAATTCTCCTTAAATGGCAAAAAACTCAAACCAAGTGACAGAGTCCCTTCTCCAGAGTTTAGTGACCTTGCAAAACTCCCAAAAGGAAACATAAGAAACAAGACTCAACTCCCCGAACTTCCTCATATCAATGGAAAAAGCCCAAACATTACCGTAAACGCATTAAACAGCAAATAAAACCAATTAAAAATGGATCCAACCTGGGACACTGACCTAGAACTGTCTAGGATTTCTAGATAATGGTATCCAACCTGAACAAGAATGACAAATTCAACTGCGAATATTTTGAATATGAACTATCAATCTGTTAGAGACATGATCCAAGCAAAAGGAAAAAAACAAAAAATCACATACTAGTTGATATTTTAAAAAGTAACTATGACCTCAGGGGAGGAAATTTAAATGAAAACCATAATCAATATAAAAGGAAAGACCAGCTACCAAACTTATCAACTCCCATAATTTATGGATTCAATGGATACCTACCTAGTCACCTATAGGAATATGTCTTCCTCATAAGCTCTCTCAAGGGTTGGGGGCTTGCTCTTAAAAGCAAGGATTCTCATTCTATTTTGGAATACAATCTCGGTGAGACGCTTCCTATAAGCCTCTTTCGATGGTGAACCAGAGGTTGTATTCTCTTTATTTGAATCCATTGCTCTTCTATCTGGGATAAATCTATCGCTTTGTTTTATAGAAAATGAAATTAGGTAAGAGATGGATCAAAGAAACAAGTGGTATGCTCTTAGGCCCAGGTTCGTAAGACTAGGGTACCGTTTTGGAAAGTAGCAGTATAGGATGTAGCCGTTTAGGATGAGGGAAAGAGAGCATACGATGTAGCCGTTTAGGAAAGGAGTCGTTTGATAAGAAAGCTAAAAGGAAACATCGACTTAACGTTATGTAATGGATGGTTTTTTTTTAGTGCAATTAATGTGTACATCTCTGCCGGTATTTCAAAAGTTTATTTTTTATTTTTATAAGTTTCCAATTTGTTCATTACTTTCGAAAATGATAAAATGGCTATAGTATTTCGAAGGTTGATGTTTAAAAAAGTCCCCCAAGTGAACTTTTAAAATCTAAAACTAAACACATTTGGAATTAATTTTTCTTAAAGTTTGATATTCCAAATCTAAAATTAGTTTAATTCTTAATTTTGGATTTTTAAAATCCAAAAAATTAGGAAAAACATTAATTTTAGATCTTTGGATTTTGAATATCTATAATTTTAAAAAAGGTGTGGTTTTTATAGAGCTGAGGCTCTAAACAATCAAAATAAAGTGTACCCTCAATTTTTGTGATAGCCTTAAAATATATTTTCATTTTTAATTATAAAAGTTAAATCTTCAAAAATAGTGTAGATCGAACAGATCTATGAAAATTTTAAAAACTTGAAAATTGACGGTAAAAAAATGTGTTACAATACATTATTTCCAAAACTTGAAATACGTTTTTTTTTTCATGTACATACATCTTGATGTCGAGATTATCAATTTGAGAATATTTAGGTATCAAAACAACCTCTTTTAGTGGAATTTTTGAGGTGGGCTCCAATTTGATTGTTCAAAGCCTCAATTCATAAACTTTTTCCTTTTAAAAATAACTTAATCTGGGTTGGCAATTTTGAAAATAATTCATTGTTTTGTTGTAGCAAAAAAGATATTAAAATATTAAATATAAATGTATATTAAAGATGGAATTTAAAGCTCTTGTGTGAATTGTTTGATTCAAATTAAGTGGTTCTCTTAAAAAATTTGGTGATTTCGTCCTGATAAATTTGATACCCGATTCTGCGAGGGAATTGACCTAGTTACTATCAATTATTATTCAAACGAGCAATTTTAAACTTAAATCGACAATTTCTAAAACCATGTGTAACGCTTTCAAGGGAGAGGGAGGGAGAATGACATACTCGAAGGTTGCTTTCATATTGAGGAAAGTAAGATCGAGCATTATGATGTCTACATTACAATATGTTACCTTTAGGGGGTGTTTGGCAATTCAAATTTTGGGTACCAAAAGTTTGAAATTTTCCAATTCACCATAGTTATTCTATGCTTCTCACACTCACAAATCTGTAAAACGTTTTAAAAAACTTTACATTATAGTTCATCGAAAGCAATATCAATCTCATTTTGATAAATGCTGATTCTTTTTTACTTTGCTTTGACTAGGAATAACTATGGTGAATTGGAAAATTTCAGCTTTTGGTATCCAAATTTTCAATTGCCAAACACCCTAAAGGTGTATTGTATTGTAGACATCATGCTCCATCAGCTTAGCTCAGCTTACATCCGCTCTCGGCTTGCATCATCTTGGATCGGCTTATATCAGCTTGGCTCGACTTATATTAGCTCGGCTCAGCCTACATCAGCTCGGCTCATATCTTATCAATTTCAAATAGCGTAGCCGAGCAAATATAATCGGAGCGGAGCCGATATAGGCCGAGTCGAGCTGATGTAAGCCGAGCTAAGCTGATGTAAGCCGAACCAAGCTGATGTAAGCCGAGCCAAGCCGATGTAAGTCGAGCCAAGCCGATGTAAGCCGAGCTGACCTAATGCTAAAGCAGAAAATATTTATTTATTTATTTATTTTCTTCATATGGTTATTTAGAAATAGTTGAAATTTTATATTTCTAAATCTCTGTGAAATTTCAAACATAAAATCTTTAGTAATTTTCTTTGATAAATCTTTAGTCATTTTCTCCAAGTGATTTCTATAATGGTAAAAATTACTTTTTCTGATCATTATTCTCAGAGCTTTTCTGATCATTAGTCTCTAATTCTCTATCTCTATTTAGTTTCTCTCTCTAAGATTTGTTATTCTGGTTTCTGGATTTTTCATTCATTTGTTGCAAGAAGCATTGGGTTGAAAGGGAGATATCGGAGGAGAAGCGATTTATTCAATGCCTCAGGTTGTCATCACACGCTAACGTATCCCATAAGCAAAATGGTTTAGTCGCTTTGTTTATCTTATTTTTTTTGCATCTTTGTATTTATTTACTTTAAATTTGCTCCGCATTTCCTCTTAATTCAACTTTGTGTAACAACTTGATTTTGTAGTTTTAAGAGAGGCATGGATTTTCATAACATTCCCAACTTCCAATGCTTCATGTCCCTTTCAATTTTCTTTTCACCAATGATTGACCCACTTTAGAGAGAGAGATGTTGTTATAGGAAGCAGAAAATGAGAATGATTAGCTCTTCATATGATTCTGTATTTTTGGCCACCCCCCAATTGATCCCGACAAACGTAAGGATCCATAAACCTCAGGTACATTTCAAAGGATCCATAAACCTCAGGTACATTTCAGTTGCGTTATTTTCTCACTGTTAAGTCTTTGGGCTTCTTCGATATATACAAATCGAACCTCTGAACCTCATGTTTTACCCTCTTATCGCTAAAGTTTTCTTGCTTTTGGTCTCATTTCTGTGTTTTTGGGGATTTTCTGAGTTTTAGTAGCTGAAATGGAGGTTGAGAAGTTGCAGGCCGTGGGATCACTTGAGGTTCGTCCTGAATTTCTCTGGTTTTTGTCGGTGACTTGATTGTGACTGGATTTGTACTTTTTTAGGTAGGGTTGATGCTGTTGAGCTTCAATTTCTAGTGGCTTTCTTGAGCTTGATTGGAGCGTGTTTTGAGATTTTGATGGCGAGCTTTTTTTGGAGTTGTTTCTTTGCTTTTCTAGGGTTCTAGGGGTTTGAATTGTTTTTTTCTAGGTCTAATTTTGTGGTGTCCTAGAATACAAATCAAAACATCCTTGCCATTTAGTTTTGTTTCATTGTTAGAATTTAGAAGGGATACAATCTCATTTTTAGTCTCATCCCTCTGTTTTTTAAGGATTTTGTAAGTTTTAGTAATGGTGCTGGCTAAGAATTTGCAGGTCATTTGATCACTTGAAGGTATTGGTGAATTTTGTGGTTATTGTATGTAATTTGGCTTATGATTTAATTGGATGTCTGGATTGTGGCTTTTTTTAGTGTGTTTCTACGGTTTCCTGTGATGAAGTTCTATTTCTAGGAAGGACTCTTTTGTGGTGCATTCCTGTGTAACTTTCATGCTAACATTTTGATTTGATATTTTACTTAGTAGGGTTTATCCAAGATTTAGGGGTCAGAATTGTGTTTTCTAGGTCTAATTTTGCGGTTTTTAGTATTTTTAATTCCCATTTTCTTGGTAAGGTTATATTCTTGCTTTCTCGTCTTTGTTCTCTATTATCTAGAAATTTTCTGTTAAGGTTTGTAGCAGAAGCGGATGAGACTTTGCTGGTTATAAGATCACACTAGGTCTTTATGGAGTTTATCTTTTTTTGTCCATGCGTTTATGTCTATGATTTGCCTGTGTGTTTGGATTTGGACGTCTTGGTATTTATTTAGGATATGTATTGTTGAAGTTATGCTTCTAGGGCTTGGACGTCTTGGTATTTATTTAGGATATGTATTGTTGAAGTTATGCTTTTAAGGCTTCTCTTGTATTTGCTTATCAAGTATTTTCTTTTCCTTTTTTTTGGTATATGTATTTTTAATGGAAAGGCCATATTTTGGAGAGTCTAGAGTTCTTCTAGGCTTTAGGGAATGGAATTGTGCTTCTGGGGCTTATTTCGTGGTTTCTAGTGGAATTTTCTTCTTTCTCCTCTCCCCCCCCCCTCCCAGTGGAACTTTTAGTTGTCAAAGATGATTTCAAATCTCAGACGCTTAAAATTTTTATTGATTATCTTGCTCATTTAGGTTTTTAAGTGCTTATGATTCGCCTTTTTTTTTTTTTTTGCAGGGAAGGATGCTATCTCCTACAAAAGTCTGACTCAAGCTTATGGGAATTCAGAAGAGCAGAAAGGAGGAAGAAGAATCTTAGAAACTCAAGATCTTGATGACCAAGGTGTATGCAAAAACTTCATATGCATTTTTCTTTTTCTTTTTTCTTTCATTCTTTTATTAAGAATTTGGTTTTGGAAGATAAAGTTCCTTTTGCTTGTATATGCTCTTTCTCTCTCTAAGCTATCCTTTAGTTGCTATCTCTCTCTCTCTCATCATCACCAGTAAGATACCCTTAACTGCCCTTTCTTTCTCTAATCTATGCTTTGTTTGCTTTCTCTCTCTCTCTGAATCTTGCATTTTGTATGCTCAGTCTTATTTACAGAGATTGTAATAGTCTCTCTCTCTCTCTCTCTCTCTCTCTTCCTCTCTCTCTCAGACTACCCATTAGGCCATAACTTGTTATATTTATTGTCATATCTTTTACGTTCTATTTCAGTCTTGCACGCCCATATACAAAATGGATACATATATTTACAAATGTCAAAGCATGGTGTTGCTCCATTCAGAGTAAGATGGAAAGGTATGGGGTTCTACTAGCCTTTGTTAATCGATTTCTTGAAGCGATTTATTGATGGTGACAAATCTTTTAGATTTTTTTTTTTTTTTTGGAGAGAGAGAGCAAGAGTTTCGCTTCAATCTCCACCTCAATCTCTCTCTAAGAGCTAGGCTTCAATCTCTATTTCCATCTACACTTCAACTATGACGAGCCTGAGAAAGCTCAATCTAAGGCCCGAACGAACCAAAGAGAGAGGGAGATTGTCGTCGAGGGGAAAAAAAGATGGTTTAGGTAGAGACAAACCCAACGGTCATATATTTGTTGAGGCCCATTAGTTTGAATTTTGAAGTGTTGCTTTTCCCTTCTTCTCCTCCTCTTTGAGCATTCTTTCTGCTTCAAAACCCTAGGAGCAAGTGAGATTTTCCCTCTCTTTCTCTCCTCCTCTTTGTGCTTTCTTTCTGCTTCAAAGCCTTTGTTAGTCTCTTTCTTTCTACGATTCTCTTGTTGTTCCACTCTTGCTCTACAAACTAGTATTAGGCTTTCTTCTACAATAGTCTACATATATGGGTGGTGTTTTAGCTAACCCAGAGGACATTGAATCCATGGAGCACGAAGAGTATTAGGATTTCTTACGTTGAATTCAAGTCACAGGTATCTCCCTTCCAAGGATTGCTTCTGGTTTATCTTGCTTTGCTTTTGAAATTGCGAGGTCATCCATTAACCTAAACTAGGGTTTTGTTCCCGGCGCCCTATTTATGGTTTATCTAGTTTTCAAGGTTTCTTTTTGAAGGTTTATGCTACTGATTTGTTGCCATAAGCTTGGATTTTGGAATTCAACGGTTTGGGGGTTCATTGTGGTGATTCATCTAGATAATTTAGGTTTATCTCTGCTGCTTTTTTTTTAACTATTTAATGGAAGCCATAGTTGCATCAGCCACCATTTCCCTGAATTTGAGTACTTTTTCAGCATGTATTTGTTAGTTGAATTTTTTCTTAGTTTGTATGTTGATTATAATTTTTTTTTATAAACTTCTTTATTTATTTTCTTTATAGTGGTAGTTTACCGGTATTATGTTTATGATGTGACTTGGTTTTACGTGTTGTTCCTATAAATGATTTAATTTAGTCTATCTTTTCATGGATTTGGGTTTAGTTGTTACTCCTATCACTTAAAGTAGAACATACGTAGCTTCATTGAAATTTAGTTATAGGATCATATGGTGTGTTTGTAGTAAGTAAAAATGGTGAGTTTCAAGCAAATATTCAGCATTTTTTTAAGACGTTCTTCATTTTCTTTGTTTATTTTTGGCTGTTTAATCAGTCCATGAGTGAGGGTTTGACTTGAAATGTAATTTTCATTTAGTTGTTTTCTCCATTCTTCACTTTTATTTCTCAACTTTTGTTTTGTTTTGACCTTTTATTTTTTTCATTTTTGGTTTGTTTCTTAAATATGGTTGTCTCTGTGGTCCATTTTCTCATATTACAAGTTGTTTCTTGAGATTGTAGGGACATTAAACTGCACTCTATGTTAACGATTATTTAAGGAAATAAAAATAACAAATTTATGCTCACCATGCTCCATAACCTCGTAGGGTATACAAATCCATCTGCTCGTTTTTGGAATCCCAAATCCTCAGTTTGCACTATTGAGTGTACGACGCAACATAGTTCCTCGAAGGTAGCCCACATTTATGTGTAGCTAGCCTTCCTAAACAAGAATTGTGACGCTTTTTCCATTTAGAGATCTGTTGCTGCTTCTCTTGTTCCCACTACACAATGTGCATGCTGAACTTGTCCACCTGTGCCCATCTTTCTGGATTCCTTCTATTCCTCCCTCCTGTGCCTTTATACATGGAATACGTACCAAAAAGAATTCAAAATGAGTAGTGGTCACTCTAAACATAGAAAATTAAAATAAAACAATGAGCATTAGCAAGAGAAATAATGTTGGTAATTAGCAGCCACAATGTCAGGATACTAAAGGCTAGCAGGTCTATTGCATAATAGGATGGATCGATTTTGGCATTACTTAAGAGCATTGCATTTGGCCTAAGGCCTATTGAAAAAAAATTTCATTTTTATTTTTATTTTTTATGATAATGTTAACTAACTTTTTTTCATGGTTCAATCACAACAAACTACAACCATTTTCTTTTGGAATCCGCATAGCGTGGCTGAACATGGGCCATGTATACCCAATCTGATGGGCATCCCACAAATTGTATATAAAATTGATAAACCACTTTGACAAACTTCAGTTGTGATCTAGGCCAAGAAGTATTATATAGCCAATCTTGGTCCGTACCCAAGTCATAAAAAAATTGATTTCTCACTTCAATCATATCTAGCTAGGGGTCATGAAATCGTAGTAAAGAATTGAGGATATTGTTAATTGATGGCGCTTATTAGTATCTTTATTGTGTTGTGGCAACCCTTAATTAGTGAGTTTTATTATCATGGAATGAAACAACATGTAGCAGGTCTATTGCATAATAGGATGGATCGATTTTGGCATTACTATAGAGCATTGCATTTGGGCCTAAAGCCTATTGAAAAAAAATCATTTTTTCTTTTTTTTATGATAATGTTAACTAACTTTTTTTCATGGTTCAATCACAACAAACTGCAACCATTTTCTTTTGGAATCCGCATAGCGTGGCTAAACATGGGCCATGTATACCCAATCTGATGGGCATCCCACAAATTGTATATAAAATTGATAAACCACTTTGACAAACTTCAGTTGTGATCTAGGCCAAGTAGTTTTATGTAGCCAATCTCGGTCCGTACCCAAGTCATAAAAAAATTGATTTCTCACTTCAATCATACCTAGCTAGGGGTCATGAAATCATAGTAAATTGATGGAGCTTATTATAGTGTCTTTATTGTGTTGTGGCAACCCTAAATTAGTGAGTTTTATTATCATGAAATGAAACAACATGTAGCAGGTCTATTGCATAATAGGATGGATCGATTTTGGCATTACTAAAGAGCATTGCATTTGGTCCTAAAGACCTATTGTTAAAAAAAAAAAAAATTTGTTTTTATGATAATGTTAACTAACTTTTTTTTATGGTTCAATCACAACCAACTACAACCATTTTCTTTTGGAATCCGCATAGCGTGACTGAACATGGGCCATGTATACCCAATCTGATGGGTATCCCACAAATTGTATATAAAATTGATAAACCACTTTGAAAAACTTCAGTTGTGATCTAGGTCAAGTAGTTTTATACAACCAATCTTGGTCCGTACCCAAGTCATAAAAAAATTGATTTCTCACTTCAATCATACCTAGCTAGGGGTCATGAAATTGTAGTAAAGAATTGAGGATATTGTTAATTGATGGAGCATATTATAGTGTCTTTATTGTGTTGTGGCAACCTTAAATTAGTGAGTTTTATTATCATGGAATCAAACAACATGTAGCAGGTCTATTGCATAATAGGATGGATCGATTTTGGCATTACTAAAGAGCATTGCATTTGGCCTAAAGCCTATTGAAAACAAATTTCATTTTTTTTGACAATGTTAACTAACTTTTTTTCATGGTTCAATCACAACAAACTACAACCATTTTCTTTTGGAATCCGCATAGCGTGGCTGAACATGGGCCATGTATACCCAATCTGATGGGCATCCCACAAATTGTATATAAAATTGATAAACCACTTTGACAAACTTCAGCTGTGATCTAGGCCAAATAGTTTTATATACCAATCTTGGTCCGTACCCAAGTCATAAAAAAATTGATTTCTCACTTCAATCATACCTTTAGAGAGTAACTGGACTTTAGAGTCAGGGAAGGCCAAAATCCAATCAGTAGTTGCTAAAGCTCGGTCCAACCTTCTTCGAATGCATCTTTTGCTCAACTGGTTATTAGACCAGGAGAACCATCCTCTGACTAAACTAAGATCAGCAAGAGCACAATCCGTCATTACTTGCGCAAAATCGTTAGAGTCTGATGATAGAGAACTGCTTCCCCCCACTGATTCCGAGGGATCCAATAACGTATTAAAATCCCCCAGTTCCAGACAGGGAAGAGCAATAGTTGCTCATAAGGGCCTCATATGATCCCATAGCAAGGCCCTTTGGGATACATAATTAGAGGCTTACACTTCTGAAATCACTGAAATAGTACCATTACAAATATGGGTCGCCTTCACAGTAATCATTTGATCATTGACATCAATCAGTTTGATTGAGTAAATTAGAGGGTTCTAAAGGACTAAAATTCTGGATCTCCCCTCAATCTCATTAGCAATAAAGTTCTTATAGAAACCCAACTTTTTAGACCAAATATGGCTCTGCTCCACTAGAAGTTTAGTTTCCAATAAGAAAATAAGACCGAGATTATGTTGACCTTTTAAAACCCCAATATCTGATATTCTGCCCCGGCACTAAAGGCCCCTAACATTCCAAGCAGCAATAGACATAAATAAAATAAGAGGTTTGGACGTTTAGTAAGTGGACCCTTACTTTCAAGAACTGTATGAGCACGCTGAGCCTTATGGGGTAACCCCATCTTGTCACCAATAGAAGCTGGAGTAAGTCCTTTGTATTACCTGTACCTGATGAAGAATGACCCCTCTTGTCACCAGAAGCTACCAAAGAAGCTTTTAATTGCGACTTAGTTCAAGCTTGAGGAAGCTTCTCAATATTCGCGTGATTCTGCACTCGTTTACTAGAAACATCCACCTTATCGGCTATGTTATGACCACCAACAATATTCCCCATGCCATCCTCCCGAGTGCCCCCCTGTAGCCCAATCGCATGAGCAAGGGTTTTTGGATCATTAACAAGTAAGTGATCCAACAGGCCGGTTACATCATACTCCTCCCCATCATTTGCGACGACGGCAGTGACGTGAACCTGCTTGGGACTGTGCTCACATATCTTCTTAGAGGCCTGTTGGTCCATAGACAATAGCGAGGAGTCGCCATACGCAACAGGTGTCGTTCCATTCGCTGGCGATAGAGTCGCGACCTCATCTGACACACCACCAGTATTAATAACATGAGTCATAGCTGTCAACTCATACTCCTGTTGCGTATCCGAATCGCCCAATGGAATGCAAATGTCAACTGAATTTGACTCAAAAGAGCTAACTGCCTGCTCAATAAGAGACCCCTTGTTATCCTCATGGACATTGGCTAGAATTGCAAAAGCATTAGAATCATATCCTTTGGATCCGCTCTGTTGTTAGCAAGAGAGACAACAACATTACTCTTCTCTGACAAAAAGGGAAGTGTTGAAGCAACCACAGTGCTTTCCTTCCCCTTCCGTTTGCAAACTAACTGCTGTCTCCCTTTGACTACCTTCTAACCTTCTTCCCTGAAGGTAATTTAACAGAAGTATCACCATTGGGAACAATTGTTGTACTGACCTTGATGGAAGCCTTTGTAGTTAAGCCTGCTCGACATAATTCAGGCTTGTGGCCCCCCCTTTGACACGTGGAACAAATCGAGGGTATGAACTCATAGACTATCTCTTGCCTATACTCCTTCCCAAAAAAATCCAGCCAAACTTCAGTGGAACAAATGGTATCTAGATCCAATGCAACACACACCCTTGGCTCAGCCCTTGATCTAAGTTTTGTCGGTTTGTCCATGAAGATGGGTGTTTCAACACTGGAGGCAATACAGAAAAGAATATCTGGTTCCCAATAAACCAATGGTAACCTTGTCAATTTGATCCAGACTGGCACAGTATGGCGAGGATGGAAATTTGAAGGATCCAATTCTTGAAGCACCAAACATTTTTGTTGATAAACCAAGGCCCCCCCGAGCGTGCAACCTCCATTTTCTTACTAGAATGGAAACAAAAAATCAAGAAGCCCCCATCAGCGGAGAATACTTCAACATCCTGCTCAAGCCTCCACATCTTCTTCAACATCTCTTTCATGTAGTTCCAATCAGGTTGGCGGCCCAAGAAGTATCCCAATAAATAGTTTTCCCACCGACTCCGACTTGAGTCCATCACCTTATTATCAATTTTGACAAATTTTTTACCATTAATAATTTTAGTAGGGGAAGTATCCATCTCCTCAAAGTAAAACACTTCATTTTGGACACCTTTGGCACCAAATAACAGGTTTGAAGACCTACCCGAGCCCAGCAGCTGCCCAGCAGCTGTTAGCTAAATTATCATTCTTGTTCTTTGGAACTAGTGATGGAAAGTCCTCCTGTGCGCCACCTTCACCATGAAGAACCAAGGAAGATCCTAGGTTGTTCTTACTACCCAAAAATTTTTCCAAAGTAGCAGCCACCTCCTTGCCTTTGCTGGAAACACCCATCAAGAGAGGAGAGGCCTCCCTTACAGGACACCTGATGACCCCATCAAGAACAACAGCAGTAGATCCTGGGGTAGGACCCATACGAGGATTACCAAAGCCATCTTGAAGAGGATCATCGCAAGGGGCAGAACTACAAACACCCACTCCTTCCCCAAAATGGACAGCTTCACCATCATCTTCTATAGAAAGATTGTGACCCATAACATTAACTTCCACATTACTATCAACAACTACCATACGAAGGCCAGCACCATTATACTCCTTTGAATTGTTATCCTTCACAGGCATCTCTCCAAAACCAGACCCAGAAATCACACGATAAGTAGCACGAGGATCTGGCTTCGAAGCTAGGACATCAGAGACTAAAGACCCAGATCCATCTCTGATAATGAAACTTTGATCAGATATAATAGGATCATGGCCAGATCCGTCCCCAACACCGAGAAGACGACCACCATCAAAAATACTAGCAAAATAGGCTCCATCCTTAAGGGGCTCAGCACCACCAAAACAAATAGCATTACTACTTCGCAAAGATGAGAAAGAAGCGCTTGAATATCAGGAGGTTTCTCTCCAAAGGGAGAGGCATACCAGAAGGGGGTGGGAAAGCCATCAAAGCATCGCAAATCTGAAGGCCGCAAGTCTGGAGTCACTCGCAGGTGGCGCAGAGTGGAAGGGGTTCTCGCAGAGGCACACGCAGGTGGCACTCGCAGCGGAACAAGGGAGCCAGGCTCTCAGCCTCTCGCACAGCCACCAGCACCTCTCGCAGCCTCTCACGCAAGAGCACTGCCTCTCGCAGCCTCGCGCAGCTTCTCGCAGACCTTCTCGTAGAGGCAGCCTATCGCAGCCTCCAAGCTCTCGCACAACTAGACTCAGGCTCTCGCACAGCCACCAGCACCTCTTGCAGCCTCTCGCGTAGCTTCTCGTAGCCTCTCGTGTAAGAGCACAGCCTCCTGCAGCCTCTCGCATAGCTTCTCGCAGCCTCTTGTGTAAGAGCACAGCCTCTTGCAGCCTGTAAATTTTCAAGCGCTGCTTTTTTGCAATACCATAAAATTGTTCTTCCTCTCTGTGATGGAAATGCTATGGGATATGTTACAGGGAGTGCGAACTCCATGGAAATGATAAGCCAGTAAGAATGTCGGCCATTACGCTTCAAATTTTTTTCTTTGGGGGTAAGTCAGTGAGGGAGACATAACCCTCCAATTCTATTTTCGAACACGCAGTTTCTGAGATAGTTTTACTAGTCGCTTTGCATTGGTATATATCTGATATCTACGATTTAGAGGTATTTGGATTGAGTTGAGGCACGAGGGAGGTTAATAGTAATCATAATCTCGGAGATTCACATAAAAGTAACCGTGATTTTCAGTTCACGTAAAGTACAGAACAGAGAGAGAGGATTTTTGAGGAATTTTTTTTGGTTAAAATTGGGAGAAATGTGATTGGTGAATGTTTTGATTGGTTGATTATTTAATTGGTTAAAAATGGATTTCAGGAGGGGTGTAAGCGTGAAGTAGTGGAGGGAGAGAAGCCTTGTCCAATGACGCGTCTGTCAACTGAACATTCCAACTACGAGTGATGTGGTAATTTCTGATTTGTGTTTCATTATATTTGTTGTGAGAGAAAATGTTCTTCCTTGGTTTTTTTTTTCTTTTTTCTTTTATTTATCAGTATTGAGTGTTAAGCGTGAGGTGGCAATGTTTATGCAGGGATCAACATTGAATTGCTTCTACGAGATCGACCACATTAGGCTGCCTCGTAATTCCCCCATTCACCTCAAGACCATTTGTGTTGTGTGGGTATGGAAACAAACAAAACCCTATTCCTAAATATTCTCAATGACCCCTCGAGTTTTACTGTTGCCAGTCATATTAGATAGCCTCTCTCTAACTTTGAAGGGCTATTTTGATACATGTCTCTCTCATGATTTGATCCCCATTAAGTGAAATAAAAGTGATCATTTACTTTCTATTGGATTGATCTCCTTGAGTTATTATTATCATCCGTGCCTTAGACAATGGGACAAAATTAAGTCCTCAAAGGGCCCTTTCGTGGCCCGAGTCCAAGGGGTTCGAACCATGGTTTCCCCATGTATGTTTATATGTTAATTTGATGTGTTTATAGTTATTAAATAGATTCATGATTGCTTAAATTGAGTATGTTGTATGTATATTGAGATTGTTCTTTAATCTTGCAATATGAACTTTAATAATATGCATTGTTGTTTATGTGAATTGAAATCTTATCAAATTATTATGATCTAGTGCATGATGTGTATGAGACATTATGATATATGATGAGGATGAAGAATGAAGATGAAATTATCATAATTTTGATATAATGAGGAATTGCGAGTGCAAGTCATGCAATATGCTGTAGCGATGTACATTGTGAATATTTGAATATTGTATTGAGTAAGGGATTTGTAAGGGACCTATTAGGGTTGAATTTTATTATTCAAATGTGTATAAACCATGTTTGTAGGCTGTAATATATGTATTATGGTTTTGTATTGAGATACTCATGCATGTAAACCTTTTGAGTTTTATACAATGGAAATTTTTTAAAAGCTTGCATTTCTAGCCCATTGGTCTTACACCACCAACAGTTATTTCTACAAAAGAGCCCTCAATACCAAAAGTATTGCATGAATCTTTTAATTGTCTGCTTGTTTGTTTCACGTGATATCCCAAAAACATGCAAGTCTAGTGCTTCTCTTTGCTGCTCCAACAAAATTCAGCTTGATCATGTAATTATTTTCACCGTGGTTGGTGGTGAATCCAATCTCTCTTGAGGCTGGGGTCTCAAACCTTGAAGATCTGTAACTGCCTTTGGGTCAACTAGTTCTTCACGAGCTTTGGTCCTTTGATTTTTCATTTCTTTTTTTTTTTTTTGGGTCAAGGGTTTGACTAGTTCTTGACAAGGTCTTGATCCAACTTGGATTTTCTTCACCATTTCGATTCTTCCAAAGACTCCATACTGTCACTAAGAAAGTGCAGCACAACTGTTTTTGTCCTAGCTTGTTCTATCACATTCATCTCCATAGATGCGACATAATGGAAATGCATGTACAAGTTGTAATTAAAACAAAAAACAAAAAACTAGACTGCCATTTTTTTATCATATTGTGCAGCTGTACATGCTAACAACAACATGAGACTCCCACCTCTTCTTCCTCTACGATATTACATTTGTTTACCAAGACTGAACCCCTATGTTGGACATGATCCATCCATATGGTCCTTGCTTACCAAGGTCAAGAAATTTTTGTACAAACATACTTAAAACATGATAAACATGCTTCTTCCTCCAGATCAAACAAATCATGGATGCCTCTCAATAATGTGTACCACATTGATTAGTTATTTGGACTTAGCTGGGTCACCAGCCCAAGCCTTATGGAGCAGTGGTAATATGATCAAGATGCAATATGATCAAAAGAACATAAACTAAGAGAATACCTTATACCTTGCCTTAGGTTACCTCCAAGGGACTTAGCACACCCCATACCGGGGCTCCTCTACCAATGGCACACAGGATCTAAGTCCAAGAACTTGTCTCACAAATTTGGGAAGACAAGGCAAAAACCAGTAGAGAGCATAACATAATATATACGTGACCAAGGCTCAACACTTGAGCATAAGGCCAAGACCTTGAGCTAGGCTATGTAGCTTGGGCGTGCACCTGTTGGCTTAGTTTTCGTTCCTAAACCCTAAAGTTTGGAGAAAGAAGAAGAGAGAGATATTTAGAGAGTGGCGTGTCACTCCTTCAGGCACAAAGAGAGAGAGATCATGTGTAGAGAATAAGCCCCACCCATAGCTAGTTTATATAGAATAAAGGCTAGGGTTCCTAGGGTTAGAGTTTTGTCATTTTTGAGAAACTTAATCTTGACCATTGATCTTGGAGATATGTGGGGTGAAGAGATCTCATCCATTCATCCCTTAGTTCAATCATTATGATTAAAAGGATGGGGTAGAACCATTATCCCTCAGTTTCCATAGCTCCATTCCCATCAAATTTTATGTACAGAAAGTTCCTATTTCAGTTATATGTGAAATTGAAAAATGGGGCTCGGGTTGGCTCTAAGTAAGAGGCGAGAAAACTTTTCAATGAGTTTGAGAAAGGGTTTTATCCAAGTATATTGACATATAATAGAATGAGGAATTGTGAGGTAGGGAGATTATGGGATGATAAGCTCGACAAAACGTGTTTTACTAAGGTTTTTCACTTACAATAGGTTGATCAAAGGGTTTTCTAGCACTGGACGGGCAAGTGAAGCATTTAGCATATTTGGAGGAAATGCTACACAAAGGGTGTGAAGCCAATAAGTCCACTAATGCCCAACATAGTGTGCTCCCTGGATGGGGTTAGACTGTATAGGACAATAGAGGCTAGTATGTGGTCTGGGATTGTGTTCCTGAATGTGTCTTTTGCGAGGACATTCATTTTTATTAACATGCTTGATGACCAAGTCTATTTCTTTCATCCTTCAAGAATTGTACTTTTTTAGTAGGAGCTGAACTTGAGTCTTAGAGTTAATCCCATATTTTTCAGGCAAGTCACCCATCATATTTTCAACAATGTAGTCCTCTACAATTCTAATCAAATTGCCCCCATGAAGCTCAACATTATTATCCTAGCTACTTTGTCATCTTCTAGCCATTTTTCTAATATTCTTCTAGCATGGGATTTGGTATTAGGTTTTATAATTGGAGGATCAGATTTAAGTACATCACCACCCTATCTTGGAATCATACATATCCATTTTTTTTTTAACACAAAAATTTGTTCTATTAAGTATTTTTAGCAATGGTACCAGATCGTCAACTAAACATACCATGACTACTCTATGACCACACTTTGGACTTACAAGCCAACCCAACAAATCCATGATCCACGTGTCTCACATGCAATGGGCTCTTAGTTAGCCTATCAAAGATAGCCAAGGCATAGAGGGACCATCGATAATCACAAATCTTACGTGACTACTTGGACAAGTATGTGGTCACAAAGATCAAGAACTACATAGGAGTGTCCTAATCTGTTCCTTCAGTGCAAGGGGAGTTCAATTACATGCAAACGAAGAACCAAGTATGCCTCTCTTACCCATTTTGGTCCAATGTCATTGTCATGCTTGTATGCTGCGTAGGATGCCATGCAGAGGCTAGTAGGCACGCACCTTTACAAGCCACCATCTCATTGCACAATAGGGTCTTGGTTTCCTCTTGTCCCGCTTCGCTCAAGAGAGTCATGATTTCATCTTGGCTCAGCATCCACCACCTTGGATCCCCTTTGGCAGCGCGTATTACAAGGACTATGCAAGTATGCATATCCAGCCTAGTTGTGGGCCAACCCTCCAAGTGAAGGCGAGAGTGATGGAGCCCCCTATGTCCTAGATAGAATCAGCTCCAACCAGCTCTAATAGCTTGTTTCATCCTAGGAAGGCCCTACTCTAATGGCCTTTTTCATCCAATTAGAGTGCACTTTCCGTGATGATTGTTTTCTTTCAAGTAACACATATCACATGGCCTCTTTCATCCATAGAGCCTTCCTCACACAACATCTTTCGCCTATGGATGTGGCACCCATCACTCTAATGGTGTCTTTCACTCAATTAGAGCCACACTCCCAGGTGTCCAAAAATATTGGTAGCTAAACACAAGAACATGTGAGAGCTGCGATCCAAAAACCAAGTGGCAAAGCTTTAGAAGGCTTATCATTTTAAACATGGTAGTTTAAAACATGGTAGTTTTAAAACATGGTAGTTTTAAACATGGTAGTTTAAAACTAGGAGATGCATGAAGTTTTTCTCAGTAATGCATATTTACCTTAGGATATATTCCTTTTTATAATTCTTTTTTTTTTTTGAGAAAGTTCCTTTTTATAATTCTTTTATACCATGCAATGAGAAATGGAGCATCAACATGTGAACGTGTGCAAATATAGGGCTCACTGGTACTATGTGGATGTGTTATTTTCTGAGATAGAGACGTAACCTTTATTCTTCCTTGTTACTTATCCCAATCAGATGTCATTCCCATTTAGAATAAGGCGGATTTGGAAACATAAGGGTGGTATCCAAATCAGATGTCATTCTACATAGAGGATGATGTAGACTGACTTTCTTGTTAATAGCAGGTATGTAGCTTTAATCTCAACTTAGTTCATTCCTGCACTATGGGTTGTTAGGGACATGGAAATTAGCGTAGATGGAGGGGGACTATCTTTGACATGGGAATGAGCATAGATGGAGGGGGACTATCTTTGATTTTTTAGTTTCGATAGGGTAAAAGATTTTATAAAGGTTTTACTTTCGAAGAAATTTATCTTTTGGATGAGAAATCCGTGCTTTTTTTTTTTGCATTAAAAAAATGCAAAAGGTTAAGAACATTATTATTTCTGAGCTTGTATAATCTTGGCTATTGTACCCTGGCAATTTTTCCTAAATTTGAATAAAAAATATTGATAACTATGTATTCTATATTCATTGGGCAACAATGACCATTTCACAAGTTTTTGTTTTGACATTTGTTGCATATACATCTTACGAATAATATCATTTATTCATACCATCTTTGAATAGTCAAAACTTCTCAAATCACAAAACTTCCAAAAAAATCATCAACTTGATTTCCAAGCCATAGAGGCTTACACTATATTTAGAAAATACAATACAAGCTCTCATAAGGCCTTTTATGGCCACAGAAACCCAACATCTCCCTTTTGGCCTTTGAAGAACATACAAACTCTTTTCCTAACATTTTCATCCCCCAATTACAATCTCTCTCTCAAGAATTTATCGTTTATTCTCTCTCATTACATTAACCCTAGTGAACTCTTTCGCCATCAATCATTTCACAAAGGATTTATGAATGTAGCTTCTGAGGGAGTCATGAAGCATCTTTCTCTTTGTTGCTCGGATCGCATCCCGAAAGTGGTCGTATTCCATCTTTTCATGTCGCATCGTGAATCAAAGACTTATTGTCACTGAAGATCATCATGTACCCTCATCGCATGGGGTTGTATCTTAGCAGCTCAAGGGAGTTCTTCAATCATGCTGCTCCTTTTTGTAACCCTACAACCCGCACCACATATCTGGGTTCCATGGGTGAACAACATTATAGTGTGTTGTTCTAGCTGGCCCGCCAAACACAAGCAGGTACTCCCACTAGAATGTTAAGCTATCTGGATCTTTCATAATAGGATACATATATATTTAAATATCCAAGCAGCTAAAAGTAATCTTGGGATTATTAATAGCTCCCACTCAAACAGAACACAAAAAAATATATATTATCTCAGCATTCTCATGTATGTGTCATGGGATAATATAGCAAGCATTATACCAAATAGTAACTCAATGCCCGTTTGGTTTCACAAAGGTTCAACCACACCAGGCTGTTGGTTGTAAATCCATAAAAACCAAGTTTTCTTAACACAATATGTATCAAAGAAGCCTAGCAAGATGGCAATCCTATGATATACCCTATGGTTCATGGTCTTAGGTAATCAAATATTCTAAAGAACTAAAAAACATGTCACATAATCAGTACTATGAAACATGAGTCAAGACATGGGTATTTAAAAACAATGCATAGATAAATGACACTTTCTCATATGTACATAAAATACTTTCAAAGCCCGATGTTTTTCCTTATATAAAAAACTCGACTTGGTATATTTTCACACGCAAGAGTTAGAAAATAGTATGGTGGTTTAAAATGATTTTTCATAAATACTTAGTGGACGTAGCAAGAGTATGGGTTTTCTCAAAACTATATCCATAGATCTAGGTTTTTCAACATAAAAAGTCCAATCCGATTTCAAAAGAACATACTTAGCCTTTAAAAAAACATTTTACCACGTACACTTGTAATTACTTACCAAGTCATGTTATAGCCACAAAACAAATCATAAAGTCCATCTATGATTTTTATCTATAACGAAACACAACTGAAAATGTGTTCATCAAAAAAGTAACAAATATGCAAAATACACTTATTTTTCTTGCCAAATATTTGGAGTCTTTAACATGAGATTCTCATCAAATACAAAACGCAACTATCACTGGACATTATCGAGAGGACGGTTACCAAGACCGGGTTCCATCGGAACACTTCCTTCATGCTATATATTTAAATGGGCCATACCCATCTCTCATGTTTGATACTTAGGTCCATAGACCTTGATCAAACCATATCTCCATGTGTTTTACTACTTTAAGTAGTTCACACAATCACAAGGAAATACAAAAGCACATAGTATTCAAAAGTGGCACTTTCAAATTTGTTAGTAACTTAGCACCTATCAACTAATGTCCATACACTCTATACATTTGCACAAAACAAGCCAACATATAATCAAAGATTCTTTAAGGATAACAAATAAATTAATGAATCTTCTTTCCTTATATGACCTTACCACGCAATGTGGGATAGGTTTCATTCCCTATAACCATTTAGTGCGGTATCTGGGCTTTTTTAATCGTTGCTTTTTGTTTGCTGACGAACTTTTGTGATCTTGGAAGAGCACACAACTGATAGAGAATCTCTTGGTCATCGGTTTTACTTGTCAACGAAGCGTCCATCTCTTCGGCCCATGGATTCTCCCTTTCTCATACCAAGAAGAAGTACTCTTCTTCATCCCATAATTCCATAAATCACAATTTTGATCCTCCCACTAATCTTTAGAGTTCCTATTCTGCCCCCCAAGTCCCCTTTACATACCCCTTCAATACAAAGAGAAACCAAGATACGTTTTACATGTATTCTGTTACTTCTATTTTATGTAGTTCCCAGATTTAGCACCCTTCACAAAGAGTGTCATATCTCCCCAACATTGTATTACCTTGAGTGTTAGTTCCCAGATTGAGCACCCTTCCCATTCTATTTTATGGAGGCTTACACAATTTTCAGAAAGTGTTAGTTGCCTTGAGTGGGGCGTGCCACACTAAGTTTCCTCATGCAGGCCCCACTCTATTTTACCATGTGATTAATTTAAGGTGGGCCCATGTTTTATGATGGGCCCCCATATGATTAGTGATTTATAAAATTCATATATTGATTCTTAGAAGCTTGGAAATAAACTTTATTTTCTCTTGAATATTTCAATACTGAAAAATGAATATCTTTAGATTTATAAATCAAATTTGTAAAAATAAAATATCTAGATATTCACAAAAACTTCAAATAATCAATTTAAAAATCATATATCAACAAAATAATTAAAATCAAATAATTTTGATGGGAATCGGATTCGTATAGGTCTAGGAATTATAAAATTGATGAAGTACTTCATCTTCTACTATGGACTATAATCCACACTTGATTTCTCAAACTGACCCAACAGTACCCATGACCTACAGACCACTGCAGTGGTTCATGATTAGGCTGCCAAAGTCAGCCATAGGCAAGGGGATGCAATCCCAGTCTATAGACTACTGGTTCTCCCTTAGAGACTAACCAACGTCATGTAGACCTGATGCAACCATAACTCTATGGTGTGTAGGGGTAATCTCTTGTACATATACACGCTTCACCCTCAAAGGTGGTTTGCTTTCTTGATATGGCTATCATATATACATGTCATGTAATGGTTCAATGAGGAGGCTTTGATCCTCATCTCTAGAGGCCAACGATCACACACAAAAGTCACACAGTCCCTCGGCTCACACATCTGGGCAACTCCGACCTCATCAAGGGATGACCCATCAAACCCTCATCGGTTTAATTCTATGCCCAAATAACTTGAATTTTCCAACTTGACTGGCTAAGCATGTCAACCTAAGCCTGAGTATCGATAAATAACATTTATTTATTATGGTCCACAAAGGACCACACTCCAACTGAGTTTATGTTTCACTATATCAGGATGTTCGTTACAAGCTCTCATAAGGCCTTTAATGGCCACAGAAACCCAATATTGATCGAGTCCAAGTTTCTGAACTCGGCCATGGACTAACCGTAGTCTTTGTTTTGAACCATTCTTACCAAATCAAAGTGGGAGTTCAATGAAATTTTCGCTACTTTATATATCTCATTACCTAAATGTAAACAGGAAGACTAACATTGAACTGATGTTATTGGGAAGAGAACATTAAGAATGTCTAGGGTGGATCTCAATATGTATTTGCAACCACAAGTGCACCTTTCCATTTGGGATACTCAAGGTTCATTGTTCAAGTGAAAAATGGTTTAAGCAATATATGGCCTTATGAAAAAAGAGAACTTCATCATCATGTTGAAATGCATGCCATAAGGGAATGAAGAACTGGAGCAGATTAGCCCATGGAATTTTCCTTTAAGCTCCATCTGGTTGGATATCTGCGTCATCCTCCAAGGTAAGTTGTTCACCTCTTGCCCATTGTTGGAGCCTTTCACCTTTCTTCCTCTAGTTGCCTTTAGGCGTTCTTTTTTTTTTTTTTGGGTTTTTTTTGGATGGGGGGGGGGGGGGGAGGTCGTTCATGTGCCTCCACCTTTCTCTCCCTCTTCAACACCATTATTATGGGCGCACCCAACCACCTACCAAACTTATCACTGCCCAATTAAGTAAGCCTTCAAGCTACTTCTATACCTCCTCCACCTTTACACATACATATACCTAATTAAGCCTCAATCTAACGGCGCCCTGTAACCTCAATTCTCTTCTCTGATCTTAGAACTACCGTAAGTTCAGCCCCTTCCTCTTAACTCGAACAAATCTTTTTGTTCAATAAAGGCTACCTATGATTCCCAATCAAACCCTGCAATTCAAAGTTCAACGTTATCCATGCTTGCTACTCTCTCTTTCTCATGGGAGCTAGATGTCTAGGACATATTCACTTCCAAGGTAGTTTCTTTCAGGCGAGACTATATCACCTTAAAAGTTCCTTTATAGCTGAGTTCAAACCTCCCAGATGTGAATGTAAGAACATCCTCAAATGGGCCTAGTCCATTTGGAAATCTGAGCTTATTACTTGACATCCTCTCTCCAATGGTACTCATATTTTCTCCTTTCCCTCTAAAGAGTTGTGAGATAGAGCTTGCTATTGAGAATCTCTTCTTTAGGAAAGCCAAATTGCTCCTCAAACCTTGGAGCCTAATGATTTTGTTCCTAGTCTAGGTTTTGGAACGATCTCCAGATTATTCTCATCTATAGTTGTTGGAAACGTCTGTGTTTTCGAATCTTTTTTGGAATCAGAATCGCATGTATCAAAAGTTTCGAAATCTAAGAATAGTTGTCTCTACGATTCAGATTTGAGAAAAATGATTTCCATATTTCGGAATCACGATTCAAAAAATTTGGAATTGTGTTTCCTATTTTAAAGAATCGATGTGCCTTCATGTTGGAATCTCGTTTCATACCTATATGGAATCACACATGACCCCACTTGTTTCGGTGGTTGCTGGAATCGTGATTCGATTAGATTGGAATATTGATTCCTAAAAATATGGAATCGCAATTCTTAAAAAATAAAGAATCGTGATTCCTAAAATTCTAGAATCGTTGTCCCCATCAACTTGGAATCAACGTTCTCACCATTTCGGAATCGTGATTCTGCCCATATTGCAATCAAGATTCTCCCCTTACTAGAATTGCGAACCAATTCCCTTCGGTATATGAGAGAAGTATTCAAAAAATATATAAATTTACCCATTATTACAAGATCGAATTTTGGTCTATATATACTCAGTCCAAGACTCCAAGTACTAATGTCAACCTTTATGATATCTTTGTGGACAAACCCATACAATGGACTCGGTCTACCGATAACCCTATTATGCCTACAAGGTCTGGAGCTAGTCTACAGCATACAAGGAGTGAGAACAAGGGCGAGCTCCCTTCATCTCCTTTCTTTGAATTATAAAATAAGTACATGACATAGTAATTATTCTTTGTTAAATATAGTTTCGAGTCTTTTGACTTGTGAAAATTGAGTTATTCAATTTTTAGTCAATTTCTTTGATATTTAATGATTAATTTAACCTAAAACACTACACATGGCACTTCGCTCATATCCTTATTATCTTCTTATTCTACTTAAAGAAAAGCACTTTTATCCTCTTATTCAACTTGAAGAAATGATGGTGTTGATCATATATTAAACATTATTACATTAGTAGTTTAGTACGCACACGATTTACCAAATATTATTAAATTTGAAGTAACATATTTTTTTATTATTATTTATTCTTGGTAAGAGTTTTTAAAAAGTACCATGAAATGAAGGATGGAAATTAGTAAATAAGAAAATAAAAAATTTAACATATTACCCATATTTTAAATTTTGATTTTATTGTCGTGTGCAACAACTTCACATTCTCTCACGCTTTCATACATGTCACGTTCACTCATGATTGAGCACACATCGGAGGGTTTCTGCTCTCTCTATGCTCACATTACTTTCATGTTATATATTATTTAGTTGAACACTTGAAGTTCCTATTCTCACATTACTTTCATGTTATATTATTTAGTTGAAGATTTGAAGTTCCTATTCTCGCATTACTTTCATGTTATATTATTTAGTTCAAGAATTGAAGTTCCTATTCTTTAAATCAACATTTATTATAAGTAGAATCGCATTGTTGTGTAGCAAGGAATCACGATGATTCCAAACAATATGGATTCGCAATTTCAAAAAATTTGGAATCAATGTTTCTCACAAGAAGAATCGGATTCTTGTATAGCTAAGAATTATAAAGTCCTCGATATGGAATCTTAATTCCGGCAATCCAGGAATTGAGATTCCTAAACTAGGTGGAATCGCGTTCCGCAAAAAATAGAAACTTGATTCATTTCTTTTAGAATCAACTTTCACTCAGGGAAACACCCAATCAAGATTCTGAAACAGAATCTCTACCCTCATAGGCGATTCAAGTAACTATATTCCCATCCATGCATGTCAACAGACCATGTATAAGGCAATATGGATACATGCGGGAGTTTACTGAGCCTCTAAGAAGCTATAAAATCTCATTTAAGTTGGGCCAGCTTGTTCCTGGGTTTCCATACTTTGGGACACTATGTTCATAATGTCTGGGACGCAAGAATTCGAACCTTCGAATAGCGGGACCAAAGCCCGTTGGCTTACCGCTTGGCCACGCCCCATTTCTATTCTATTCTTGGGTCCTTCCTCTTGGCTCAGCCTCCTTCCTTGTTCAGTCAAGCTCATTAGATTATATTCTGAGGTCTATTTCCATTAAGGTTCGGAACCTCAACTGCAAGCTCTCTATGCAGCCTCAATCAGTTGAACCGCGAGTTCATCTGTCCACCATTAGGGACCATTGTTTGGTGAATCAGGCTCCAAATCACCATAATCTTGTCCACCCTATTGTGGTTCATGATCCTGAGGGGTGGACTACTGTTGTGTACCACTCATCCAACAATTCTGGGCTGCCCGATCTACGGGGATAGGATTCTCCCTTCTGTACACCTCTCTCTTAGGATCCCTCCCCAACCCTTGCCTCGTACTGAGCTTCCTTTTCCTGTCCCCGGGCCCTGCCACCTGGCCCTGTTGCTGATGCAGCCCACCCATACCTTGGCTCCGCCTAATACTATTTTCATGGGAATTTTTTTATACATCCATTGTATCCTTCCACATATGATTTAGTGATTCATGCCACTTTAGATACTTAGTTGCGTATTACCACACCAGCCATTTTGCATTTCTTGATGCTTGTTGATGGTGAGGTGCTGCCCTTAAGGTCATATATGGCTTCTACAATTTTTTACCTCAGCAATGAACCTTGAGTATCATGAAAGAAAATATGTACTATTAGCTACAAATACATATTCGGATCCCTCATGGAGTTTATTAGTGTTCTCTTCCCAACAACTTATCAAATGCCACATAAGCTCTCCTTGTTTACATTATGCAATGAGATGTACAGAGTAGATGCAACTTCTGTAAACTTCGACTTTGATTTAATATGGATGGTTTAAAACAAAGACAGGGCTTAGTTAACATGCCCAAGTCCAGAAACTTGGACTCAGCTGAGTCTGTAAATTAAGAATAAAATATTGGGGACCAGCAAGAGCAGCAATATAACTTAAAAGATGCCATAGTTAAGACTCCATATTACTATTTTATTATTGTTAATAAATTATTTTAAAAAGATATTGTGCATGTGGCCTTGGGATCAGAGCCTGAT